ACTTCCAAACCTGAGCATGGATTTCTGGAACCACTGGGTACCTGCACCCAGTGCTATTTGGGATGTGCTTCTCACACAGGTAACAGTCACAGCAAGTTTTGGGCCAAACTATTTAAGCTTGGTACAGGTATTTGAAATGTAAACAATTTTCAAATAAACAAGGTGAGGGGATTTCCCAGCATCACCTACACAAGATTTGCCATTGATACTCCTGAAAATCTTCTGTAACAAATCTTTCCTAAAAGCCTTATCAGTTTCTGGTATTTTTAGTGCATAGAAAGCAGACTTTGAGCTGTAAGCTTATAATAAACATGAGCAAGATCCTAATTGTATGTTAAAATCCCATTAGCCTTGTAAAATGCTAATGCCTAGCTACTTTTACAGCCATGAGTTTTGTACTAGTTCAAAGCATTAACAACCATTGCTTGACTTTTTTCTTTACAAAGGAAAATAGGATAAAAAAGCCTAAGTATAATCAACTTCCTATTGTTTCCAGAAAACTGCATTGCTGGGTTTGAACCAGATCCATGAAATCTCATTTCTTCTAACAACCTCTTAATGAGCACTCAAAAAAAAAAAGATAGTCTAGGAATGACAGAGATTGCTATCTCACTTTTTAACATGAACTGAGGGCTCATTTTCCTTCCTGCTTGCATGAGACACAAAAAAAAAAGGAAACAAAAACAAAAAGCCAACCCCAAACTTATCTACAGCGACTGTAAAAACAAGATTTGAAGGAGGCAGAGTGCTTTCCATGCCCACTAAGCAGCTTAGGGCTTTAAGCACTTGCTACACTGTGGRGACTAATCCTAAATGTAAACTTATTTAATGTGCTACAGAACCAGTGATTTAAAACACAATGGAGAAGAAAAATCTGGAATCTGAAACAGACTTGCTGTTTAGATGAACATTTAGCACAGAAAGTACCAATCACTTGTTGTGCATGAGCCCACTTGGAGACAGAGCTGGCAGCAATATCACAGGGTCTGACAGCTCCACCAGACCAAGCCCTCACAGCTCCCAACTCCTCTAACATCTTTGAAACAGAATTTTCATTTATTCTTTGCAGGGTTTCTCACCATTTCCAAGTAACAATAAATGACTCMAAGCGCAAAAGGATTGCAAATGGCTGGAAATGATCTTGCACAGATAAGAGCTGGTAAAAGCTGGAAGTCAATGTTCAAGGACAGATCACCAGTTGCACATGTGGCTGATGCATGGTGAATATATCAAGACTGGCTGGTTTAAATCAGTAACATGGRATCACACCTTGTGGGCTGATTAACAAGAGCCAAAGGCATTTTTAAAAAAATTAACAGGCATAGGACACTCTTCAACCCTGCAGTGAAAGCACATTATGGCGAGATAGCATCAAAATGGAAAATGTTTTGCAGCCTCTTAATGCTGGGGGCATTTTATCAGCAATGCAAAAAGAAAAGGCTGCAGAAACTGCTTCAGAAACAAACACTCCATGTGCCTGAAGCTTTCCTTGCTCTGCTCAGATAMAGAGAGGGACAGCTGGACACTTGTGCTCCAGCCTCAGGGAAGGGGAAAGGGACAGTCAGCCCTCAGAAAGGGTCATCTGACACCTCCCCAGGTCATTCTATTTTCCACTGACCATGGGAGCAAGAGTGTATTTTGATTTTTGAGTTTTGAGKAAGCACTGCACATTTCTTAGAACACCCACTGCTCTTCAGTCACCGAAATGTCACTGATACCCCAGCCATCCCAGAATCCTGCTACCAGATTGGAGCAGTCAGGTTTTAAATGCCAAAGGTTTCTGAAGGTTTTAAATGCCAAATTATCTGCATTTCTTTCTTCACTTAGCACCACATCTTTTCCAGCCTTCAGGCTGTTGTRTATTAAGAGGCAGGACAGTTCTACACCTCTCCCATTACTTCAGGCCACCCAACAGTCAAGCACATTCTGTTTTGATGTTCTGACACCGTTTCCAGGAACATGAACAGCTCAGAGTGATTCTCCAGGTCAAAGGACCTGTGCTTGCTAAAACAATCTTTGGGTTAAAATGTATATAAACCACAGTTTTGGGAGCACAGGAACCCAGCACTCAAGTCTTGAGGCCAAGGGGAGCAAAGGGTCCTCCTGGTGATGTGGCCATGTGGAGGGAGGAGAGGAGAGTTGAGAAGTGAGGAAAACTCACATCCTGCACACAGATCACTTACTGCCAGTGTGCTGTCCCCCACGTTYGAGGCAATGAGCCCCTCGATGGTGCCGTACTCTGCATCCCTGGAATTGAGCCTCTCCATGTGGTTTTTCTGTATTCTCCGGATGATCAGCACAGCTACTGCAGAAAAAACTATCAGCACTATCACAGGAGCCAGGATAACRACGATTAGTGTCTCCATGCTGTAACCTGCAGCTTCTCCTTGAAASGTTTGCCCTTGGAAAAGAGAGGGGAAGGGAAAAAGTGTGAAAAGAAAGAGAAAAAAAAAATTGGAATTCCCAGAGAAATCCTCAAACCCAGCAGAACTGACACGAACCCTTATCTCAGCAGCACCCAGTGTGACAGAGGCTGTGCACAGCCAGGTGAAGCATCCTGCACGGAGGATGCACTGCCTGTGGAACAGCAGAACCCCCACCTGAACTGAGCACTCCTCACAGCATCCTGACCCCAGCCAGGCCATACAACCCCCTCAAACCCTGCCCACACACCACTGACCCCTGGGCATCAGCTGMGTGCCAGCAGCCCCAGGGTGGGTGKGGAACGAGCCACAAAGGGTGTCCTGTGCCCACTCCACTGTTCCTTTAGCCAGCACTGGAGCATCTCTCTCCCACACAGCACATCAGGGGCCAGCCCCTCTTCTCTCCCCAAACGCACTCCTGATGGATGAAGCTCTCACCTTTGGARGAGGGCAGCTGTGCTGTGATGTTCATGTTGCACAGGTGACCCTGGCAGCACTCCACAGCCTGGTCAGGGGACGGGGGTGTTTTGCAGGTCATTTTCCGTTGTTCATAGACCTGGAAGCAGCCCTTCTGGTAAACCTTGGCCCCATCGTTAATGCTCACAGAGGCAAAGCAGCGCTGCCCTTGGCACCGATCCCCGTTCCCACAGGACATGCCTTCACACACACACTCGTAGGGGACCATCTTGAGCTTTGGTTCATCATCTGTAAAAGGGAAGAGTTGAGGAAAAAACATCATCCGGTTCTTAACAGCTTCAGGTAGAGGTAACGAGATCATTAGTCAATATAATCTGTTCAAGGGAAGAGATCCTGGTTTCAGCTAGTGCTGAAGAACCACTAAGTAGGAGGTAACGATTCTAATTCAGCTATTTCAGCATGACAAAGATATGCCACAGCAAGCACAAGAGACTTCTCTCAAGTAAATTAAATTTTAAAACKAAGAAAACCAAGTTACTCTCAGAGAGCTTTTATTCAACTTTTTGCAAAGGCTGCTTGCCAAGTAGCAGTACACCTCTTTCAGGAGCTCATCTCTCAAAACMTCCAAGACATCCTCAAATGCACCATTCCTGCCTTTCCACGGGCAGTGGGAACACTCTTCCCCTTCTTGCCAAGGCAAACCTTAAACATTCTGCGTGTCAGGAAAGCTTCACGTGCACTCAGCTGTATAAACCAGCTATGGATGTCACTGTCCAAACCCAATGCCCTCACTGAGCACTCACAGAAGAGTTACCAAACACTGAAAAGTGACCCCACAACACTCACCTTGCCAGCTCGGAGATGGGAACGCCATCACCATCAGCACAGGGAGAATCATAACTCCATCGACCACCCCGGAGCTGCAGGAAGGAGACACACGTGAGCTCTGTACAAAACACTCTTTAATAAACCCCCACAGAAAGTTGCTACAGATTTTAAGATCCATGAGATATCCAGTTACTACCTGGTATTCACAAGAATTCACAGTGAATTCACTACCTGAATTCACAAGAACTTTTTTCCCAAGGGAAGGGCAGGGATTTAACACAGATAAATAAAGGAGAATTAAAAAGCAACCAGCAAAAAAAAAAAGTGCAAAATGTGTTTTCCCTTCCAAACGCAAGGATCTTTGCTGTTTGACTGGAACTCCTGGCCGTGCCCTGTGTAAGCACAG